TTCCTGGCAGCTGAAGAAAACAGAATATAAAGACCCCAAATATCATGTTAAAGAAGTTTAGATCTGACACTGTGTTAGCTTTCCTTTCCAGTGCCGTCAGCTCAGTGCTTGTGGAGTGTGTGTCAGAGGAGGTGTCAGAGAGGACTGTACATCATAGCTTTGACTTCATGAGCAGGGCAGGAGTAGTGTTATCTTGATGTTGGAGACAATGGGAGTGTAGAAGTGTCCTTATTTCATTTGTTAAGGTCTGTGGCCCCCTGCTGGTGTGAAAAATACTGCAAGTGGGATCACTGCGGGCTTTGTGGAGTTGTTTTTAAGTTTAACAGATATTTACCAACACTACGGCTGATGTGCTTATGTGCTGATCTTTTTGTACTTTACCTTTTTACTGTCAGTGTAGTTACAGAGATATAAGGATTTGCAGGTGTGAGTGTTTATGTTTGTATATCGTGTGGGGTTTGATCAAAGTGTAACTGAGAGAATTTGTGGTACTCGAGGTCCCCCTACAGTACAGGAGAATAATAGAGTCACTAATAGATGTACCAGCAGTGTTTTGGGGTTTTTGTTCAGCTGTTGAATGTGTCTGTATCACTGTGTTCACTCACAGCACAGAAATACAATCCTTTATCTTCTGGCTCCAGATTCTTCACTGTGAATGTCCCACTCTCAGCGTTGGGCTTGGTGGCTGCAAATTTATCTTTGCTTGAATCTCCAAAGTCATGATCTTCATTGGCAATTCTTGTGAACACAGTAAGTTTCATTGCTTCTCCTGGCAGCTGTCTGTACCAGTACATTTGGAAATACTGGGTACACTTAGTCTGGTTGCAGTGCATTGTTGCACTGTCACCCTGTTTTTTCTATAGTATGTCAGTCTGGGTGACATCACTACCACCAGTTAGACCTGTGTGAAAAACAGTTAACATTACCAGAAGTGAACATGTAACAGCACACAGCAGAACACCTAGATTTTGAACTTTTGGTTATTGTCCCTCCAATAGACGTTTTAGTCAGTTCTGCATTGTGCTGATCTTTTTGTACTTTACCTTTTATCCAGAACAGAAACAATAACAAGCTGATGAGAGCGTGTGTGATGATGTTCATGTTCAGTCAAAGTCAAACACATAACTGTCAGTGTAGATACAGAGATATAAGGAGTTGCAGGTGGGAGTGTTTATATATCGTGTGGGGTTTGATCAAAGTGTAACTGAGAGAATTTGTGGTACTTGAGGTCCCCCTACAGTACAGGAGAATAATAGACTCACTAAGTTGTGCCAGCAGTGTTTTGGAGTTTTTGTTCAGCTGTTGAATGTGTCTGTATCACTGTGTTGACTCACAGCACAGAAATACAATCCTTTATCTTCTGGCTCCAGATTCTTCACTGTGAATGTCCCACTCTCACCGTCGGGCTTGGTGGCTGCAAATTTATCTCCCTTGAATTCTCCAAAATCATGATCTGTGATGCCGAGTGTTGTATAAACTATTAGTTTCATAGTTTCTCCTGGCAGCTGTCTGTACCAGTACATCTGGTAATGCTGGACACCCTTTGTGTGGTTGCAGTGCATTGTCGCATTGTCACCCTGTTTCTCCCACAGTATGTCAGTCTGGGTGACATCACTCCCATCAGTCAGACCTGTGTGAAAAACAGTTAACATTACCAGAATTTAACATTTTAACAAGTGTACAGCAAAACATTTACAGTGATTTTGAACTTTAGTTATTATACCCCTAATAGATGTCTTATTCAGTTCTGCATTGGCTGATTGTTTTGTACTTTACCTTTTATCCAGAACAAAAATAGTAACAAGCTGATGAGACCATGTGTGATGATGTTCATGTTCACAATGTCAGAGTCAAACGCATAACTGTCAGTGTAGTTACAGAGATAAAGATTTGCAGGTGGTACGTGGGAGTGTTCATGTGGGGTGTGATCAAAGTGGAAAAAGTGGTACATGAGGTCCCCCTACAGTACGGCAGATAATTAGTTTTAGAACCAGCGGTGCAAACAGTGCACAGGGGTTTTTGTACAGCTGTGAAATGTGTCTGTAGCACTGTGTTGAAACAGCACAGAAATACAAGCCTTTATCTTCTGGCTCCAGATTCTTCACTGTGAATGTCCCACTCTCTGTGCCAGACCTGGAGGCTCCAAATTTCTCTTTGCTTAAACCTCCAAAGTCATGTTCTTCATTGCCAAATCTTGTGAGCACCAGTAGTTTTATAGTTTCTCCTGACAGCTGTCTGTACCAGTACATCTCGTAGTACGAAGAGCCCTTTGTGTGGCTGCAGTTCATTGTTGCATGGTCACCCTTGTCTTTCCACAGTGTGTCAGTCTGGGTGACATCACTTCCATGGATTAGACCTGTGTACAACAATGAAGGATACACAAACATTTTTTGTTACCTTATACCTAATTGTTTTTACAATGATAAAGTATTACATGAAGCCAAAAACATTTTTGATTTTTAAATCACAGTGCACAGTTGATTTTATGTAAACTACCTAAAGCCCACAGCATATAGATGAAGATGATGATATCCATGTTCTGTTTGACACAAACTGCCAGTCTAATATAGATACATGGATAGAAAGAGCTGCAGCTGGGAGTGTTAGTGAATCATATGATGTGATCCTTTGAGTTTCACTAAGTCTTTACTGTCAGTGTAACTTTAAATGGGAGTCAAAGTGGTGCAGCGGGTCCCCCTACAGGCCATCACTCCCACCTGCATTCATGAACTGTTTGCTACTTACAGAACTTGAATGATCTTTCTGTACTGGCAGCACTAAAAAGTGAGAAATTTTTAATATCTGATCTGAAGTTTGATTTTGAAATTCTTCAACATCCAACACTTAAAGGAACAGTTCATCCCCAAATCATTACCGGTAGTGTTAGTTACTCAAGATAATCCACAGACCTTGTTGTGAGCAGTTTCATGTGGGAACTATTTTCTTGCTCCTGAACTACACCTGCCAATGCCACTGTGCAGATGGAAGTGTGCATCTAATGCTAGCTCACCTAGCACCACTGGGCAAGCTAATATTACAGCACAGTTGAGGAGGACACCATAAATGTTCACATGTGGCACTGTCACAAGCACGAGCCTCTCATCCATGAGCAGATGCACACTTCCCTCTGAACAGTGATATGGTTGGCAGGTGTAGAAAGAAAATAGTTCCCGCATGAAACTGCTCACAACAAGGTCTGTGGATTGTCTTGAATAACCTGGTTATGATGTCTGGAAATAGACACTGCTGTTGAGTTTTTAAGAAATTATTATTATTATTATTTTTAACACTTTGAGCACCACAAACAGAGTGCCGTCTCGTCCCCTGGTATTGGAGAGATAGGTAGATGCTTTTATTCATCCCCTTGGGGAAATTGGTTTTGCAGACATCTCTAGAGCCAATATCTCCAACACTCTGCAACTCTCACCAAAATAATCTAGACTGATAAATAGCACTACAGGTATAAAGGAAATATGTACTTTGATTTTTGGGTAGCTGTCCCGTTTAAACCTGAAACTAATTGTAAGAAGATAGTTTATCTGAGTTTAAATACCTAAAACATATTTCAAATTCTTTAAATTGTGTAGCTGACAAGAGGAGTTTATAATTAATAGATAACCTATCAGTAGTTTTTATCAAATATTTGATGCAACATCAATTCTCATCATTGGAACTTAAAGATCTTTGTCAACAAAGTCTGAGTACTACACATTAAACAAATCAATGCCAAAATCCATCTTGCTATTGTAAAATCACTGTTGCAGTGTGTGGAAGTTTCTCATCAGTCATTCCCAAATTGTTCATTGAGACTCTAGGCTCAACAGGTATCACACAGGGATAGATTGCAAGATAGAAAACTTTAAATTTAACGTAGTACAAATATCTACCTATTAAATAGAACCAGTGAATGTTATGTTACAGCCAGTAAAAACTAGTGATAATCAGTTATGTTGAAAACATTATTAAGTGATGGAGTAGTATAATGTTTTTGCTTTGTTGAAAAATATACATTTACAATGAATATTAAAATCTGCCCTTTAAAATGTTTCAAAGAAATGAAAACAATCCTCAGGAAAATATATAGTTAAACTATTTTAAGTGGATTTTTCAGCCCTGAAGGTTCATTTAGCAAGCTCTGTGGCACTTAAATATACCATACCAAATAATTCTTAAATGTGATAGAACTATATTAATACTTAATTTTAAAATATTATTGTGCGTAGTTACAATGAGTAGTACTGCCAGTAAGACCCCAAATATCCCTTCAAAATTAAACCTGCTGTAAGACAGAATTATATTGAATCAAAAACTTGTGTACAGTTTGGTCCAGTAGGTGTCACTGTCATCATACTTTTGCAGAGAGACAGAGAAATCCTGGTATTCAGACAGATTTAAATCTTGTTTTACTGCTCGACTTCAGTAGTTGTGCTTATTTTTGTCATGTTTCTTTTCTTCTTCACTGTCAGTTTAAAAAAAAAAAAAGTGTTCTAATAAAAAAACCCCCAAAAAAACAGGCAAATAATGAACCCATGACCAAACTGAGCTCAGACCCAGACTGTGTGTCATGAGTTATTAGATGCTGACTTTGAACAAACCAGTACAGTAATTTACATGTAAATTTAATTCTGCCCCCTGGTGTTTTAAAACCCAAACTTGCTCTCTGATCTCCTGGCTCCTCTCCCTCTGCAGCTCCTTCAAGTCACAGTAGATCATATTGGATGAAATATTTATTCACACAGCTGCGGTTGGTTTTCACAGACATCTTACAAGTGCACATAGTTCAGAGATATGTGAGATTTCACAGACCAATAAAGAAGTGGAAGGCTGCTGTGTCTGCAGCAGGAAGCCCAAATACAAGAAAAGATTGTTCGATGGAGGGACGGCTCCGATGGGGGATCAGGAACAGCTCTTGGCTTCAGCTGCCAATCAACATATACTGTACACTGAAATGCACAACTACTGTATAAGTTAGTTCCATGTAATCAATTTGATATACACTGTGGTGTTTAAATTGTTTAATCTGGTAAGATCACCAAACGACAGCAGTTTTAACATTTCGAAGATATTTCAGTTTTATGAAAACATTGAGACTTGCATGACTTAATATTTATTTACACATAACATCAAGTGGTGGCGACACAACATTCTGGAACATCTCTACAAAATACTTTTCAGCTGAACCCAATGAAACAAATGAGCATCCTGAGAATTTCAGGAACGTTTTCAATGACTTTGTGGTCACTGGCAGCACAGCGTGTCATATTGCTCTTTGTGTCAGAAGATAGTTCAGTTACCACATAAACCTCTGAAAACAAATCCAATTTTAATCCTCAGTGTTGCAGATTTCCTTCACTTTTTTACATTTTGTAAGCGTCCTTTGTCTGTCCCTCTGAAGACTCCCATCTCTTTTCAAAATAACAATCCAATGGTAACAAAATGCCTCCAAACATAAAGTGTCAGTCAGTTTACACTTTCAGTTCCCATAACCAAGTCAAGTCAACTTCGTACAATAAGCGATATTCTAGTAGGCTACCTAAAGTTTAATTTGTATTTGTAATATTAATTATTTGTATAGTAGAAATATTGGATACTTGGCACGCTGTGGCGGTACCATATTGCCACACAAAAATATCGCGATACTATGCAGCATTGATTTTTTTCCCCCCACCCCTATAAAACATGTAGGTAAATTGGGTTAACTGACCCTTTCAACAGTTTGACAATAGCGAAGAGTTAAAAGGTCAGTCAGGTGAAAGTGTTGAATCCAGTCTTATTGTGCAAAGGGATGCCTTCGGCTCCTCTGAACTCCTCCGCAATGTCATCGAATGTGCGGCCTTTTGTCTCTGGGAGGCGAATCCAGGTGAAGGTGAAGGCAGCCAGAGCCACAGTCATGAAGAGGAGGTAGACGTATGCACCGCATATTTTCTGTGTGTGGGAGAGCCAGACAGAGGTATTAATTTAATTTGGGCTCTTGGTCTGTATTTACCAGCCCAATTGCCTTTTAAAAAAACATTATTATGTAGTGTGAATCTCAAATCTTTATGTTTCAACAACACTGTGTTTCATGTGTGGTTAGGTAAGTTAGGTTCTGGGGGCACAATCCCCGCTTAAAAAGCAGCTGTGTCTCAGTAAAAACAGATGCTTTTTGTTGCACTGTCCCCAGTGGAAAAACAGCACCTGGTCCCTAAAAAAACCCTACATTTGGTGGCTGAAAAGCTGCTTGAAACACATCAATAACTCACTGAAAAAACAGCTGGTTTTGTTGAATATAGGTCTGCAGTACTGCTTGGCAGGCATCTTACCTCGGTGACACACGCCATCAGTGTCTCCTCCAGCCCCGACGACAAAGTCAGCTCATATACTACGTAACTTTGGCGATGTTAATATGATTCGTATGAATTCTGCAAATTTAACATTCATATTTTCCAGAAATGTACAATGCTGACATTTTCTTCTGGCGACTGGGCTGGTATTTAACCAAAGAATGGTCTCTTCAGATGAAAAGCTTTGCAAGAAATGTCATCATAATTACACAGTGTTAATGAAGAGTAACATTCTCAAAAACAAAAAGAAAAACACAAAAGCCAATACAACAGCTTTACACAAGAAAGTAGAAAAATAAAAAGGTTGTTTGATTTGGTTCGTTGGTCATAGTTTCAGGTTGGCTGCCATCTCTGCAGCACTGTAGTGACCAAATGTTTCCCTGGTTAACTGTTAATTTAATTACTATTATTTCAACCTGATGTTAAAGGAGTTAGCAATAGATTTATACGTAATAAACATCTCAGATTTATGTCTGTTTTACAGTATACAGTGTACGTTTGTATATAACAGACTGAACAGATTTATAGCCTGTGTTTAACAGTCGTGTCTCTGAGGTATAAGAGAACTTGCAAAAGCAAGCAAGAAATCCACCTCTAAAGTTTTCCCTGAAGTTTAATTCACTCATACAGCGTCCGGGCCAACAGTATAAACTCACCAGTAACGGAGGAAAGAGGAGTGCCAGAACAAACTTCCCTCCCCAGTTGAGCATGCTGGTAAAGGCCATGGCGATGGGTCTGCCAGGTTGGTCGAACAGCTCAGCAGCGATGAACCATGAGATGGGGCCAGGGCCCAGCTCGTAGGCTGAAATCAGGCAGAAAACCAGCAGGACTTGGAGGCTCCGCAGCTCTGGGACCAGGTGCTGTGTGGTGGATAAACGGGTTTCTCATTGAGGGATAAATGTAGGGCAGTCATTGTAGGTTTTAGGGTTCATTTATGTTGAAATGTATCAGCAAAATGGGAATGATATTAGCTCTGTCTTTTGTTTAAAATCAAATAGTGTCTCCTGTTTTCAAAAACACATTTGAAAAGTAGGTTTGTTTCTTGTTCTAACAATGGGAGACTAAAGTTCAGTTTATGCCTGGTTTGTCAAACATTAGATATCTTGTGCATTTTAAGTGCAATAGATTTTTTCTTTATGCACGTTCAAATAAATCCTACAGTCGTACTGAGATGATCTTACCAGGACAGAATCCACTATGGTCATGAGTAGATTGCACACTGCTATGGAGATGAAACCAGTCAGGAGCAATCTCCTCCTTCCTGCCCTCTCCATCAGGAAGAACTTTAAAGGAAAAAACACAGTGACGACTTTGCTCACATTTTTTCCCCATCGTTTTTAAACAAAAATGCAACATTATCCTGTTGTGGCTCAAGCTGTTAAACCATTTATGAGGAAATGGTAACAAACTTAAAATTTGAATCCAAGGTTTTGGTGCAGTTTGTGACAAAATCTATAGAATATGACAACTTGTATATTTAGTATATTTAGTAGATTTGAGATTGTTGGCTTTATATTGATTAGCTTAAATAGGGAGCAGAAATGTAAACATTAACACTATATTTTGTACTCACTGCCACCAGAGTGAAGGTCACATTGACAGCTCCCACGCCCAGAGTCAGGTATTTGGCCTGATCGAACTTGGCTTGGAACATTCTGGTGGAATAATTAATAATCTGGAAGAGAAGAGCAGGCATTTCATTTATCTTAGTGGGTTACTGGGGCATCTTTTGGTGTTTTTAGAGGCAGGGATATTGTCCTGACACACTGCCCCAGAATAAGAGTAGAGTAGTGCCAAGCCTGAATAATGTATTGAATAAATACAACAGCGCTTCTAGTGAAATATTTATCAGACCATGAACAATCCATGCAGAAAGAAGTTAACCACAGCAAAATTATTTTGTCTCCAAGTCAGAAGCCTTCACATTCATGTCAAACACATTTTCCCAGTAGGATCTTTGAGTTATGACAATTTAATTCCACAAGACTGACCGCATTAAATCCAGACAGCTGGCTGCCCAAGTTGATGATGAGAACGATAATGATCGGCTGCTTGTATCTGCGCTTCTTGAGGAACTCATTGATGGTGACACCGGTCTGGGTGTGGGCCGCCTCTTCCTTCATCTCTTCCAGCTCAGCGAACACCTTCTCTGAGCTGCCTCTCAGCCTCAGCAGGGCTGTAGTGTCAAAACAGCATCTTCTTTTTAGGGACTGTTGTAGTGTATCCACAGAGCTGAGATACTAGGGTGCATTAAAAGCATTTCCATGTTTTTTTTTTATTTCTGGAAACCACGACTCTAAAAGCTGATGATAAAAGTTCGGTAACTGCAGGACTGTTGCCCTAAAATGAAGTACTAAAACATGGGACCCACCAGCCTCTGCTTTGGTCTCTTCTCCCCGGTTGATGAGCAGGTAGCGAGGGCTCTCTGGACAGAAAGGCAGGACCAGGTACTGTGTCAGGGCCGGGATGATAGACAGGGACAGCATCATGGCCCAGTTATGCTCAGTTCCCAACACTGTCTCCAGACCAGCAACCTGCAGGGAACAGATACAGAAACCTTGTTTGACAGTTGTACTTAGTATCCAGATGTTACATCTTGTTTGGCCATTTGGTTCAAATCATGACTTTTACCAAGTTAGACAAGTAAGCCAGACAAGAGCCAATCATGAATCAAAGCAGGACTTGGCAAGACTTCACATACAGCGATCAGCCAAAATATTAAAACTACTGGCAGGTAAAGTGAATAACATTGATCATCCCGTTACAGTGCAATGTTCTGGTGGGAAACCTTAGGTTCTGGGATTCATGTGGATGCCACTTGACGTTCTCCATCCACTCAAACACTGTTGCAGAGCAAGTACACCTCCTCATAGTAACAACACTTGACTATGGCAGTGCTGTTCTGTATCCAACCCTGCACTTTATCTGCCATCACCTTATAGACAGTGAGCACAACAAGCATCAGTCAGAAGTTAAAAATTCCAACGCTGTCCTCACCATTCCCACCAGGATGCCTGAGGCAAAGGACACCTGGTTGAGTGTGGCGAAGGCCCCTCTCAGGTTTGTGGGGGACACTTCCTGGATGTAGAGCGGATTAAGGCTCATCACCAGGCCGCAGAAGAGACCGAACACTAAGCGCCCCAGGATGAGAACCTCAAATGACTTGCTGGCTTTGGAGGCGGACATTAGACACGCTCCCACCACAGAGAGACAATTCACTATTAGGATGGAGTTACGTCTGGAGGGGAGAAGAGAGAAATTAAAAGACAAAAAACAAGAAGGAAATGATGAAAAAATAACTTTTTAAACATTTTTTTTTACCTTCCATAAGAATCTGCCAGGTATTTGACTCCCAGTGAGCCCAGCAAAGCTCCAAAGTCTTTAATGCTGACAGAGAGCGACCACAGGAGAGTCAGGCTGTGATCCGGCATCGTCTGGTTGTGCCTGGTTCTCCAGGTGTGGTTAAAAAACTCTTCAATGATCTAAACAGTTAAACAGCAAAAGACGATCAGCGTCAGGAGACACAGTAGAAATTCAAACTGTGGGTGTGATCCAATCACTGACATTTGACCCTGTGTAAAACTTATTTAAAACATGAATGCTCCTTGTAAAACAGCTGTTGGTGATGCACTTTGCAGATCAATCACTTTTACTTTTACTGCCAGTATTACTCTAAGTAATCCAGACAAAGTATTCTGTGGGTCAGGTGTTGTGAGGACATTAAATGTCAAAGAGCTGCCTTACTTGCAAACATGTACAGCAGTGCAATGCACCTGTGAAATAGCAAAACCCTGCCTGACTGGGGAGCCAGACCTGAAGCTGAGCCAGACAGTTTCAGGAGATTGTAAAGTTTATTCAGTGTTTTATTGAGTCTGTGAGATATTTGTTTGGTGGTCAGCCATCCCAGCATCCTCCTCTGCAAGATATTTTGGGTTGTCTTGTACCGAATATTTCACAGGCCTGTGTTGTCTTCTGACTGTTTCCCTGCTTGGACTTTGTGGCCATCTTGTACATTTAATTCATTTTTAAGATGTTATTTTACATAAAGGAATATTGTATTTCTGAGTTGGGAAAGATCTTGGATTTCTTTCTTGATGTTCTCTGTAAACATTATACTCTCAAAGCAAATTCAAAAGGTACAATACCACAAAAATAGTGGAATTTGGAGACATTGTTTGATATCAGGAACTGTGAAACTAAACTAATACTATCTGTATAAACCAACATAATGTCGTATCTATCCCCTCAGCTCCCATCTGTCCTGCGTACCTTGGCTGGAGCGTTGACGTTGCCAGTATGGTAGCCGATCTGCAGGGAGCCGAGCACCGCTGCCAAGATGGAGGTCAGGAGTGTGGCTGTCAGATGGCTCTGCAACAGTGTCGAGGTTAGTGTCATTTATTTGTAACTTATCTTAAATAATGAAATAATTGGTGATCCTTTTCAAGTCACATTAAACTGCTCACAGTAAATCCCTCTTGTATCAAACACATTTAAGACTCTTAAATTTATTTTAATTGAGAAAAAGTGTGAATTGAGCTCACTGATTCTGCACGCTTCTCCAAACATAAGCACCCCCGCCACGACTATTTGTAAAGGTCAAGGGTGGCAGGAGCCACAGTATTTTCACACACTGGCAAGACGCACAGAATTTTAATTAGCACAAGTGAGTGTTAGTCCTCCATCTGTCTGATCATCTGTAGAAAAAAAAAAAGGCAAAAACAAACAAACCTCCTGTGGCGCCATTTGTGTGGGCGAGATGGGGTATCACTCCCTCAAGATGTTCATGCATTTATCTTCTTCTTACTTCCTTTACTGCCAAAAACCCAAGTTATGCCAATCATTAACACATGCTGACACTGTATATGTGATTATATAGCAAGACGACTTATTATATTATGTAATTATAAAATATTTTATAGACATTTACTTATAAATGAAAATGTTTTTGGTGTATATTTTCAGTCATGATTTTTAAAAATAAATCCCAGCTGTGTTAAATCAAAACAGATTTCTTGTGTATGCCCTTTAAGACAGGAAAGGATGTCAAGAAATGCTGTGCACATAGCCATCAAATCAGTCAGCACAGTTATATATTTCAACATACTGTTTTGTTTCTTTTTATGTCAACTCACCCGTGGTGTGGAGTAAAGCAGGCAGCTCATCTTGTCCAGAATATAAATTTTAAAAAACAAAAAATTATCCATTTAGCTACAGCTGTGAGGTGAATGACCACTCATTAAATTTGTTCCTGTAACTTACAGGGTCTGATTTTGAAACATTAACATATTGACATTTGACATATTAACATATTCCTTCCTAAGCAGTAAAAACTCAGTTTAATCTCTACATTTGAAAATGGACACAATAATATGTTAATATATAGTAACACCTTTACCGGCTGTTTATAGACTATGCAGCATGCAGAAAAAGCTTCATTTCAGTTATCTACATCTTTATCAATATCTATATTAACATCTGTATCTCTAGATACTTTTAATCAATTTCTCACCAACGTTCCTGAGTGTCGTACGTTGATCCTGTCTCCATCCCTGAGTTTCAGATATGACTGTTAATTTTCCTGAGAGAACACACCGTTACTGGACACACACACACACACACGCATTGGACCAGTGGGTCTAGTGATGAAGTCGCACCCAGCTGGTGAATTTGGGGCAGACCTGACAGAACGGTGGCTGCAGGCCTCCTCTAGTTCACATGGTCCAGCTGATCCACGTCGTTAACTTCAGCTGACTGAGGATCAGTTCATCAGCTGTGACCAAACCTCAAATTAACTTTGTCAGATACAACAAAGCTGTTCCCAGGTCAGGGTAAATGGCAACCGGTTTCCATTTGGATCACATAGTTGGCATTTTGGCAATAACACAGCCACGTGCTTTAACTGTGTGTGTGTGTGTGTTTGCGAGTGTGTGTGTGGGTAACCTTGTCCTGTGATGATGTTCACTGAAATGGGAAATTTTTGAGTGTCTGATGAACGTGCATCTCCATTTGTCTTTCCAAGAACAAAAAACAAAATTGAACTAAAAACAAAATTGAAACAGGAGGTTTCTACCAGGAGCAAAGTTGTCTTGAGAGGTCTCCTTCTCTGCACAACAAATGGACCAGGAGTCTCTTTTATAACCAGGGTTGGAAATTAGCACCAGCCACTAGCCACATGCTGGTAAAATAGGCAAGTAGCTGCTAGATTTGCTTCACTCACCAGCCAAAAAAACAATGGTAATCTACTGAGTGGCTGGTAGATTGTGGAATCCATCACTCCCAGTGGCAGTGTGGATCAGTGTGGATCAGTGTGACACTTGTGATCGGCTGTTGAACACACATTGAATAGCATTAAATAATAGCATCAACAGTTTTCAATAATATCTTCCAGTACTGTTAATATATCACCATATACGATTTTAGTTTTTTATAGTTTAGAATAGTTTAAAATCGCACACTGCCACACACGCCTTGCCTTTATCAGTCACCTTACGTACATCTTCACCACCTGCACATATGGATTGTGTAAATGAGTAAAATGCACGCTGACAGGCATGGTTTTATAAATCACAATATTTTTTGGCACGCACAATTTTCACCTGGTGATTTAAACCTGCAAAAACACAGAATAAAGCACTTTCGCATTACGAATCAGTGTTTCTCTGACATTGTTCAGCATGTTGGAAATGGACCGCTAGACCAGCGCCATGCACCTTTTGTCTCTGGTAAATTAAGATCCAGACATTTTTTTGTTTTTAAATATGAGCTGAATAATCTGCAGAGGTCTTTTCCCTTCAAAAACAAATGAGCCTGGTGATTTAAACCGGTAAAAACACTAAATAAAGCAGTTTCATGTAAAAATTAAAGCTGCAAGCAGCGTTTGGCGGGACCTCGCACTCGCGCCCGTTTCGGCCCCCAGCATATGTCGTCCTTGTGAATTATTTAAAAATATCAAACATATTGCCACAAACATCAGAAAATCCTTACAGAGCTGAACGGTTTGATGTTTGAATCCTCTCTGTAGCTGTAGGTATGTAGAAGTGATGTCACAATATGCAAATTAGATGAGCGAATTTACTCCCATCAGATTCCTATTCCCATATTTTGAGGATGAGATGAGAAAAACAGCACAAAACAAAAGAAATCTACTGTGTAAATATGTTCAAAATGCTTATTTACTGATATTTATGAAATCCAATATGGCTGCCGCTTAGTGATGCCACAATATGCAAATTAGATGAGTTAATTTACTCCCATCAGATTCCCCTCCCTTTTTTTGAGGATGAGATGACAAAAACAACACAAAACAAAATAAATCTACTGTGTAAATATGTTCAAAATGTTGTTTTACTGAGATTTATGAAATCCAATATGGCTGCCACCTAGTGACATCACAATATGCAAATTAGATGAGTTAATTTACTCCCATGACAAACTTTGGGTCATGATGAATAGTTTTCTGATTTACAGTATGCCTTTATGTCTCACCACTTTCAAGCCACAGTCTTTTGAAATGTTGAAATGAAAATGGAATATTTTCCTCAATAAAGTCTGGCACCTAAAGGGTTAAAATGGAGTTTGTGTGTGACAGCGGTTGCCATGTGCACCTGGCAGAAGAGCAGAGACAGACAGAGACAGAACACAGAGAAGAGACCTGTTTTAGTGGAGATTTAACTCCTTGAACAAGTTCTTCCCATTCCCAAACCGTTGCTAAAGTTATACAGAAGATCTGTTTAGCAGCAGTTGAGGTGGCATGTGTGTGTCTTTAAAGCCGATACAATAAACGGTGTAGGAGGAGATGTTTTTGTTTAAGAGCATGTTTGAGGCGAAATCTTACTTTGAAAGGGCAAATAGCTCACTTCCTGTTGGAATTAGGTCATGGGTGTCAGCGCGTAATTTGTATGTCGAACAAGCCAGTTTTGGTTTGATATTTCTACGACATTCCTACGGGCCACTGTGGCCATTTTAGTGCACCTAGGTGGCGCTAGAGAGCCCATTTTGGCACTCTAGAGGTTAATAATGTGTATTTGCTGTTTCAAATGAAGATTCTGCTGCTGTAATCTGTCCTTTAAAGATTGTGAGACACACAGACGGACAGAGCTGTATGGCTGTGTCTGTGTGTGCAGCCGTTGTCATGGCGATTAATGACTTGCCTGCAGGTGAGGGGCACACACAGAGCTCATGAGAGCAGGTCAGCAAAGGCTGTTTATAATGGGTTTGAACTCCTCAAACAAGTCCTTCCCATACCCAAACCGTTGGTCCAATCAAGAAAATAAAGTGATTGTGAGAGACAGCCACTTCTCGTGAACGCACGTGTCGTGTTTTATATTTCTAGAGTCAAAAATGTGGTCAGAGGAGCGAGTTTAAAATGTGTTGCGCCTAAGCTGTTTCCAGAAATTTCTCCTCTGAGTTTACATGGGAGTGAATGAGAAAAAAATCGGCGCTCCCTTCGCTTTGGAGCCACTCAGCAAAAATGTGTACATGTGAGAGATTCCATGTCAACATATCTGTGAGCAGGACAAATTTTTCTACGTTTTGTGGTATAAAATGTGTCTGTACAGTGAAAATTGTGGCCATGGCAGCGAGTTAAAGACAAAAGTTTTAAACGATTTTTAGAGCCCTCTCCACTCTCGCTCACAGTATTCCGTGCAATACACACCCATTGTAAAGTGACAATTTCTCCACTTTTGCTCATGGTACTTTGAGAGGCACAGATTAAAAACGGTAAAAGATATGAAAAAGATGAAAACATGAGTGAATAAATGAGACCTGTGGCAACATTTGAGAGTTGGAATGGAGTCTGTAGCTGAAAGTATGGAGACGCTGTAAAGGCTAGAAAAAGTCCAAAGATTGGTCTCTTTCTCCCCCCTGCTGCCATTCATTTCCTATGGGACAGCTTTCGAAGACCGTCAGGACGTTTTTCTGACATCTCACCTTTAGGAGGCCATAAAATCCAAACTAATCGAGCAATGAAAAAGTTATAAATAAGATCTGATTAGAAGGAGTTGATCTGTCATCTGTGCAAGTTTGAAGCCGATAGGATAAATGGTGTATGACAAGAAGATTTTTTAGGAAAGGCAGTTTTAAGGCAAAATCTTACTTTGAAAGGGCAAATAGCTCACTTCCTGTTGGATTTAGGTCAGGGGTGTCAGTGTGTGATTTTTAGGTCTTGATGAGACGAACACAGCAGTTTTGGTTTCATGTTTCTACTACGTTCCTACAGGCCGTAGCGGCCATTTTTGTGTGCCTAGGTGGCGCTAGAGAGCCCATTTTGGCACTTTAGGGGTTAATTTCATGATTTTCTAAAATTTTTCACCAGTTCTGATGTGCATGCCAATTTTGGTGAGTTTTTGAGCATGTTTAGGGGGGCAAATTCCAGTTCAAAGAGGCAGCAGGAGAAAGAATAAAGAATAAACGCAGCTCACAGAGCAGTCCTCGCTCTGTGAGCAGTCCTCTGCCTCTAGGCTCGGTCCCTAAAAATCCATGTTTTCCAGTGCTCTCATTATTTGCTATGATGGCTGCTGCAAAAATACAAATGACCCTGTCTAGAGCCAGTGTTTGGTTTGTCCGTTCTGGTCTACCGTAAAATCATGGTGATGCAATGTGGCAATCTCCATAGATGAGGACCCGCTGCCTATGTAGATATAAACGGCTCGTTCAAAAGTAACAAAAACACAATGCTTCTTAATTTCAGGTGATTAAACACTAAAGAAAACATACTTGATATACTCTGCTTCTACCAGTATATACTGCTACATCCTACACACTGGACCTTTAAAAACAATGAGATCATTTTGAACCTTGTGCTACTCTTATAATCATGCTTTGGTAAAATGAAAAAAGTAAACACAGAAAGGCCACTTTGTTTCACCGTAACAGTTAAATTACCAAGTTTTTTTTTTTTTATTAAAATGGTGTAAATTTGCAGGTTCTTTCACTGTTGTTTGTAGTGTGTCCGAAACAGCAGTTCTGCTACAGGTGATACACAATTAAACACCACTGATACCTTACATGTAATCAAATTGAAATTGATTCTGTTCATGGTAAAAGTTGTTATGACTGAGTCAGTTGAACACATACAGTACATCTGTGGTTTTGTACCTCTTGTTGTAGTCTTATGAAGGAAAATAAATCTTCATCCAGTTTCATACCTAAGCAGAATGACATGAAGAGCCTATGTGTGATATAATGTAATGAGAAATTAAATCATAACTGCAGAGATACATGTCAGCAGCAGCATACTTAATAGCACAGTGTGGGTCAGGATTGGCTGACTGAGGCAGAAATACTGTGTGGTGCTCTTAAGGATAGACTTAAAAGGCGACACCCATCACACAGTACTGTGACAATTTAGAGCCTTGAGGATTTAACAGACAGTACCAGGATGAAGTATGACTCCTCCTCCTCCCCCCGTCACAACAGTCTTAATATTGGTCTAAAGTGCTCCCTGCTCTCTGTCAGCTTCAGACTCTGAATGTATCAGTTTCCAACATCTGTCAGTCTGTCCTGGAGCTGTGACAGGAGCAACATGCAGACATTAGAGTAATCCCCAAACCAGACTGATCCTGATCAAAGAGATCACATCA